GCAGCAGATGAAGGAGATGAGGCTGTACAAGAAAACGTGTAACACATTGCCAGTGGTGACTAAGCCTGGTGGGAAGGTGAGAACTGTTTACAGGTATTTGACAGTTTAAACTCCCAAAGAAGCAGAAGATAGAGTGTGTTCTGCAGATAGCTTCACTGAAAGTTGGGTGGTAAAATTAAAAAAAAAAAAAGCTAACATTCTGTGAGGGCTTCCCTGGTGGCTCATTGGTAAGGAATCCATCTGCCAATGCAGTATGTGTGGGTTTGATCCCTGGCTTGGGAAGATGCCCTGCAGAAGGAAATGGTAGTCCACACCAGTATTCCTTCCTGGGAAATCCCATGGACAGAGGAGCCTGGTGGCCTACAGTCCATGGAGTGGCAAAACAGTAGGATGCGACTTAATCACTAAACAACAACATTCTGTGACTTAAGAGACTCAAAAAACCCCGATTCTTCCATCTTTTTTTTCCTTCTTTAAACACACCTGTATTTTCAGTTGGTCAGTTCAGTCGCTCAGTCGTGTGTGACTCTTTGCCACCCCATGAACTGCAGCACACCAGGCCTCCCTGTCCATCACCAACTCCCGTAGTATACTCAAACTCATGTCCATTGAATCGGTGATGCCATCCAACCATCTATTCCTCTGTTGTCCCCTTCTCCTCCTGCCCTCAATCTTTCCCAGCATCAGGGTCTTTTCAAATGAGACAGCTCTTCGCATCAGGTGGCCAAAGTACTGGAGTTTCAGCTTCAACATCAGTCCTTCCAATGAATATTCAGGACTGATTTCCTTTAGGATGGACTGGTTGGATCTCCCTGCAGTCCAAGGGACTGTCAAGAGTCTTCTCCAACACCACAATTCAAAAGCATCAATTCTTCGGCGCTCAGCTTTCTACCTGTATTTTAAAATATTATATTTTAGGCCCAGTTCTGAATCAAGCTAAACAAGGAACAAATTAGGTAGGACACATTTTCCTTTCTTCCTTCTTTCTCTCCTTCCAGGCGTAAGTTTTCCATAGTTTATTTCAGTTAAGAATTGGATGTAAAATTTTTGACCTTTTTTCTTATTGTATGATATTAGAGTACTTTGTAGTCATTTTTAAATGGAAATGATAGGTGTGTCTGTTGTAATGAGTTATCTGTTGTAATTTCGTATGCAGTAAATGATACATGAAGATGCGTTATTGAAATATCTAGTTAGCACTTCTCATCCTTGTGCTTGTAGTGAAAGACTACTAGAATGACCTGTCCACTTTATAATTTGGTTAACTCTGTTCCCTTTTTCCCTACGGGCACCAGCTGTGTAAAGTCCAACTTTACGTGAAGAGAGTGGATTTAGTGGCCTCACCAACTCTAAATTAGCTGCTATTTTCCAGACAGCCGTTTGAAATTAAGACCCCTATTAATTTTTTTCTGGCCTTATTCTCTTTAGGGGCACCAGAAGGAAGGAGGAATAGTTGAGAAGGGAAAACTGTCACAGCCTGTATTTAGTAGAAACTAGGTTATGTTAAATCTAGATGTGTAATCCTGTCCAGAGAGGCCTTTTCTGAAATGCAGTGACATCACACTCTGGGCTAGGAAAGTTAGAGAAATTGTGCTTTTGACTCTCAGCCTTATTTATTTTTTAAAACAATGTCCCAAGGCCATACCTCAAGCCCGTAGAGCAGCAGATGGATGACTTGTCTTGTTTGATCTGGTAAAAAGGTAGTGTGAGTTCCAATTCCATGTTGGCTTTGCTTTGCCCTGGATCTCTCCTGAAGAATAACTTCTCTCCCACTCCCCAGAAGAACTTGATTTTTTTTTTTTTAAATTAGAGTATAGCCAATTAACAATATTAGTTTCAGTCAGCAGAGCCAGTCAGCCATACACATACATGTATCCATTCTCCCCCAAACTCTGCTCCCATCCAAGCTATATTTTTGAGACTTTTCAGCAAATACTTGCTTTATTCTTTGAGCTCTATCTTTATCTTGGCTGCCTCTTTGGAGGGGGCGGGGGGTGGGTTCTAAAACAGTCAGCAGTTTTCACCATCCTATGTTTTAGAGAATCTGTGTTCATCTCTGGCATGTGATTAAGTGTCTCATTTAAAAATATATGTATATGCATCTTTTGAGGTGAAATTCACATAAAATTAACCATTTTTTTTTAATTAACCATTTTTAAGTGAACTGTTTGGTGGCATTTAGTACATTCACAGTATTGTGCAAGTCCGCCTCTTTATTTTTGTTGAGTTTTAGTTTTGGTTTTTTTTTTTGGAGTTTCTTTGGCTTAAGGCAAGAGCTGCTGCTGCTGCTGCTAAGTCACTTCAGTCGTGTCCGACTCTGTGCAACCCCATAGACGGCAGCCCACGAGACTCCCCCCATCCCTGGGATTCTCCAGGCAAGAATACTGGAGTGGGTTGCCATTTCCTTCTCCAATGCATGAAAGTGAAAAGTGAAGACTCTCAGTCCTGTCCTCCTCTTAGTGACCCCATGGATTGCAGCCTACCAGGCTCCTCCGTCCATGGGATTTTCCAGGCAAGAGTACTGGAGTGGGGTGCCATTGCCTTCTCTGAAGGCAAGAGCTAACATGATAAAATGTTTCTCTGCTGGTAGCTGTAAGGGGTATTACATTACTATTGTATAGGACAGAATGAAGGAAGAGAGTGGTAAGTTTTTCCCTTCTCTTTAAAAGCAGGGATTTTAATTTAGTATCTAAGATTATGTACTTGACTTTCTCCTCTTCCCTGAAGTCTTTGGGTACATTATTCCCTAGTTAAGAACACTTGGTGCTCACAATGGATAGGACAGAAATCTTCCTCAGTGATAAAGATTGTTAGGGGAGGTAATGAAATTGTGTGAGTCACTATTAAAGGTAGGATTTGAGGCTAGGTTAATTTAATGTGTAATAGATTGTGCTGAAAATTTGTTAGGAATTTAATATGCATGAATGTGTCAATGCTTTAGGAAACAAAACAATTTGGGGGCCTTTTTCAAAGAAACAATGAAAAATTTCAGGCAGCTTTTGTTTTTAAATCTTGAGCAAGTTTTAAGCTTTGGTGACCCCATAGGATTTAGAGTGGCATAATCACATCCTGGAGAGACCGTAATGGCCTTGAGCTATGGCCCTCCTGTCAGGCTCTGGCAGCCATTTCTGTGTGCTGGTTTTTCTCTCTGTGTATGTAAGCTCTTGGGCTTTCCAGGTGGCTCAGTGGTAAAGAATCCATCCACCTGCCGGTGCGGGAGACACAGGTTCAGTCCCTGTGTCAGCAAGATCCCCTGGAGGAGGAAGTAGCAGCCAACTCCAGTGTTCTTTCAGGGAAAATCCCATGGACAAAGGAGCCGGAAGAGCTACAGTCCATGGGATTTCAAAGAGTCAGACTGACTGAGCACACAGTGCAATACCATGTGTAAGTTCTTAGGTAGTAACTTCAGATTTGTTCCACGTCTTCTATGTGAAGGACTCCTTTCTTCAGTTTGCCCACTTCACATTTAGTTTACATTGTGAATGGATTAAATGATTATAACATTCTTTGAATTTTTGCTAGAAAGGCATTATGAAAATATTACATAAGGCAAGTCTTTGTTACAGATTCACTTTAAATTGTAACAAATATGCTGAAAACAGAAATTTCTGTTTTCTATGATTTATGTGAGTTCTAGCTCACTTCTTTTAATACAGTAAATTCAGTGAAATTCTGGTACAACCTAAAGCACTATTGTATATAAGGATCAGGATTATAAATATTAAGTAGCTGCTTGGAAAGATAGCAGATGAGTCTAATTTCTCTTAAATTAACCCAAGTAGTACCTTTTAGAGAACAAAGTTCAGCCAAACTCTTGTCGCTACATGATTTTGTGGCTCTTTTTCCCTCAATTACATTGATTTGTTTAGTGCTTAGGTCTTTTCTCTCAGATACATAAGTACCATTGTTTGTAAAGATGTGGTCATTCAAATTTGCCAAATGTGTTATCACTGATGCTGTTTTGACCTGAAAGGAATGAGCAGGTACTGGGGCATCTGTCCTAAATTCGGTGATAAGTAGTACTAATAATGGTGGTGAAAAAGAAGATACCTTTTTTTAAGTGCAGAAGGAATATTATTAAAAGAGAAATTTAATGTATTTGAAGAAGTCAAGTACATTGGACAAAGTCTTTAGAATTTCTCAAATCAGAAAACAGTGTTTCATGATTTGGGGAGAAATGTGATTAGTCTGTGCTGGTGGTGTTTTACCAGTGGAGCCTTATGTCAGCTGAGTCAGTTCTGGAAATTGGAAAGGAAAAGGCAAAGTTAAAGCTGGCACCCATGTTGTTTTAAGTTTTAATATCAGTTCTGATTCTTTTTTGTACTCAATGTGACTAAACAGATATCTCAGTTCTTTGCATTGTTTTTAAGTGTAAACAGATATTTCTTTTGGGGAGTACTTTTGGGGGTAATTGTAGTTGTTGGAAATATGTTTTTTAAGGTCTCTCTAGATGTTTGTCATGAAAGAATATTATCCTACTAATTTAGACCTTTTTTTTTTTCTGAAAGAGATTCCTTTTACTGATACATGTGATGGTGAATAGATTGATGGAATTATTTTCTCTTTCAGTTTTTCTGTGCTTCTAAGAGACTGGGAGTAAGTCAGATTTGCCTTAATAGAAAGTAATAGGGAGATCTTTCAAAACAAACTTTGTCTTGTCTTAAGTATTACAGAAAGATCTAGCTTTAGGTCTTGGAGGCTCTGAGGAGATAATTGTGGATAAAATCATAAAGCCATGATAGGTTCAGATTTTTACTCTCTTCTATTAGGCCTTTGGAGTTTGCTCCAATTAGCTTTTTGACACAAGAGTTTCATTCTTAACTATCCTTGCATCCCTTTGGATCACCCATGATGGTGGTAAGGATGAAGAGACTCGTTGTGGAATTTAGATATTCTCATATATAAATGTTCTTAAAATTGGTTGAATCCTTTGCTGGACCTAAATAATTCAGATAAAGGTATTTTCTCTTGCTCTAGGTGCACATTAAAGATCCAAAACCATGACTGACTCCAAGTACTTCACAACCAATAAAAAGGGTAAGTATGAGAACTCGATTAAAGCCTTTTTTGAAGATTCTTCAAAAGTGATGGTGTAAGATTGCTTCAGATAGAATGCTCCTGATCTCTTCAGAGATGCATGTCTTGGACCATCTCATAGGGAATCTGCTGCTTCTACACAAAGGTGTATTGAACAAATTTTTAGAGTATAGGTTGTTAAAGATATAACTGTAATACACATCATTTTGACTTAAAGGTTTTAGTGAAAGGAAGAGATCCAAGATTGATCCACTGAAAATTGATAGGTCTGAGGAGGGTGAAAAAGAAAGGAGCACATTTATTCTCTTTTTAAAAAAAATTGAAGTGTAGTTGGTTTACAATGCTGTGTTCGTTTCTGGTGTACCGCAAGAGTAATTCAGTCGTGTGTTTGTGTGTGTATTATTTTTCAGATTCTTTCCTATTATAGGTTATTACAGATACTGTATATAGTTCCCTGTGCTGCTCAGTAGGACCTTGGTGTTTGTCTATTTAATGTATAGTAGTGTGTATCTCCTGATGCCAAGGTCCTAATTAATCTCCCCCCACTCCACCCCCCTGCTTTGATGACCATAAAATAAGTCCATTTGTATCATTTTTTTTTTTAGATTCCACATATAAGTGATATCATGTATTTGTCTTTTTCTGTGTGATTTAACTTCACTCACTATGGTAATCTCTAGGTCTATCCATGTTGCTGCAAATGGCAGTATTTCATTCTTTTTTATGGCTGAAGAATATTCCATAGTATGTATAAATCACATCTTCTTTATCCTTTCATCTGTTGATGGACATCTAGGTTGCTGCCATGTCTTGGCTATTGTAAATAGTGCTGCTGTGAACATTGGCATGCATGTATCTTTTCAAATTATAATTTTCTCTGGATATATGCCTAGGAGTGGAATTGTTGGATCATATGGTGATTATAGTTTTTTAAGGAACTCGCATACTGTTTTTCATAGTGGCTGCACCAAATTCTTTTATTTTTTCCTTGGAAATATTTTATAACGAGTATTATAAAAGCAATATAGCAATAAAAAGTAAAAATAAAAGTTCTCTTTCTATTTCTGTTTCTGATGGGAAGTTGATGTGTATCCTTAATCTTTTCTGTGCATATGTTAGTACATATGATTGAAAAAAATTTTAACCACTAAAAAGAGATGATACAAAACGCTGCATGGAAACTTGATATTTTCTTATCCTTGCACTCATGCATTGTTTTACATGACCTCTTTTTTGGTAAAGAGAAAAATGATGTGATGCACAGAGAAGCACATACCATTATTTATTAATTACAGCTGCCAAAATGCATAACCTCAGTGTAATTATGAGAAAATACCCATGACAACTGAGGGTGTTCTTTAAAATGACTGTCCTGTGCTTTTTAAAAATGTCATTATAATGAAAGGAAAGGCTGCCCAGCTGTTTCAGATTAAAGGGTGCTGAGACGTGACGGTAAGTGTAACGCGTGATCCTGAATTGGGTTCTGGCCCGAGGGGGATGGGGTAAGATTACTGCAGAGGACATTATCAAGATCATTAAGTCTGTGTAGATTAGATAGTGTATTAGTGTTACATTTCCCGAGTTTCATCATTGTATTATGGTTATGTAACGTAATTCCTTGTTCTTAGAAATTACCCACTGATATAATTTAGGGCTAAAGAGACGTGATGTCTACAGTTTGTTGAATGAATCAGAAGAAAAAGTATAAATATATAAAGAAGTGTATGATAAAGCAAATGTGGTGTAACATTAGAAACTGGGGAGTTTTACAGATTTTCTGTAAGATTAAAATGATTTCAAAAGAAAAAATGGGAGGGCAGGTGTAGTGCCTGGAGCACCAGAAAGTTATCTAGAAAGCCCAAGCATATTCGTCATTTGTTCTGTCATTTGGAGTTAATTAAGGCTAAACAGGCTTTTCCACTATACTACAGAAAACACCATAGAACACTACTTATTACATCAGCTGCTATAGTCCATGGCTTTCAACCTTGCCGACACATTGGAATTGCCCAGTGAAAGAGAGGAGGTGGTGTCCAGTCCTCCCTTGCACATGTCCTGATTTGTTTGGTCTGGGATATGACTTTGATGGGATTTTTAAAAGCTCCCCAGATTTTTCCAGTGTTTAGCTGAGATTGAGAGCTATTGCTAGCTGCTTGGTAAGAGTTGATGACGGGGGGAAGGAAGGGGGAAAGATAAGAATTTAATAAAGCGGTAGTATGTATGAGATACCTTGCCTCACTTAGTGCTCCTCGGCTCCACCCAGCTTCTTCCTGTTTATATTGCTTACACCTTAGAAAATCCTTTAGCCCTGGTCATTCATTTTCAGCTTTATTTCTGATTCTCTTACCATTCTGAAATGTATTTATTTCTTCTGTTAACATTTTGTGTGCTTTGATGACCTAGATGTTGTGTGAAGTCAAAATGAAAGTCGCTCACTCATGTTGACTCTTTGCGACCCCTCAGTGCATGGAAGTCTCCAGGCCAGAACACTGGAGTGGGTAGCCTTTCCCTTCTCCAGGGGATCTTCCTAACCCAGGGATCGAACCCAGGTCTCCCACAATGCGGGCAGATTCTTTGCCAGCTGAGCCACAAGGGAAACCCAGATGTTGTGTATAATGATACAAAAAGATGTAATTTAAAAACTCACCTAATCCTTCAAACCTTCTCTTATAATGGGTCCTGATAACCTTTTTTTAATTTCAGGGATTTTTGTACAAGTTTGAGACTTAAGATGAATCATGACTGAGTACCACATTTTAAAAAATGGATAGGTTGTGTTCCTTTTACTTCCTGTAACACCCACCAGAACTGCCATGGAACATACTCTTTAAATTTATGCTATTGGAGTTGGAATAATTTCAGCTACATCCTGTTTTGATTCTTCGACTCCTGCTGCTGTTCACAATTCAGGTTTTCTGAAACCCTGCTGCTTGTTCTTTACTTTCTCCAGAAGTAAGTGATGGGAGGGACCCTGAGAGCTGGACTCGGCAGCGGAGGACTTGGAGAAGAGGAGAATGACTCTTTCAAGGGCCCAGCTTTTCTGTCTGTGCTGTTTTTATAGCAGCTGTCAAGTAAAGGGGCGATTTTTGTCAAAATGTATTTGCTTTGTTGGCAGTATATCTTGATCTAACAAGTTTTTTTAGTGCTTATCTTCTGTGCTGCTTACTGGTTTCATCCTTCTCATTTAGAGGCTTCAGCAGATCACATCGTTTGCTGCCCCCACTATTATTACACTGGTGAGCGAGGCTGAAGTGAACATCAAGAACAGTGGAAGAAAATGAGGCAGTACGCTAGATGGGAAGTGGAAGTGGCAGTAGTCAACTTCTTTTTTGTAGTGTTATAGTATATTTTCTTTCTTTTAAAACCAGTTGAGAGTTGTTACCTTCTTATTTCAGCTCCAGCTTTCTTAAGGTAGGTGAGCCTAGGCCTTAAAATAGTGACAGCCCTGGCATTTCACAGTGCAGAGCTTGAGCAGTCACTGAAGATTGTACTTTTAGAAATGACTGGTTTGTACCATTCTTGAAGCTTCAGGATGATTATTTCTGTTGTTAGCTTGATTGAACAGGATACGGCTTTAAATTCCATTGATATCTTAAAGTACTGATTAGAACAGTGATTTTCAACCCTGTACATTAGAATCACTTGGGGAATCTTTAAAAAATATGAATGTAGGAGTTTTACTGTCTGAAAGTCTGATTTACTTGATTCAGAATGGAGCCTGAGCATTGGTATTTTTAGATCCTTCCCAGGCAAGAATGTGTAGACAATGTTGGAAAATTCTTAAGTTGAAAAAGTTGGGAGAAACAGTTCTAAGGCCAGTTCTGTAACTCGCTAGCCCTGTGACCTTGGGTCCTCACTTTGTGGAGTTGAGAGTAGTGAATGAAAAGTATCTTCTGGTTTGAAAACATTGGTTTGTGAACTTGTTTCCTGCCTACATTTATTTTTTCCTCAGGACTTGGAAATTCTGATGGGAGATCATCCCTCAGATGCCATTCTGTCCCCTTTGTAGAAAGATTTCACATCTTTGCTTGTTTTAAAATTTTGTTTCAGTTGCAGCCTTGCCTCTAGTTAGCTGTTGTGGTGTTACTTTACATAGTGCCGTGTTGTGCTCTAATTTTCTGACCCTGGGACCTCATTTGTTTGTTCTCTTTTAGGAGAAATCTTTGAATTAAAGGCTGAACTCAACAATGAAAAGAAAGAAAAGAGGAAGGAGGCTGTGAAGAAAGTGATTGCTGCTATGACTGTGGGGAAGGATGTTAGGTAAGGGTGACCTCTTCTGCCTTGCTCACTTTAGACTCTTACTGTAGTGGCTTTTTACTGCTTTTCATTTAAGCTCTTATGATAAGAATGTATATGAATTGGTTTGTCCCACTGAAAACATTAGGAAGTGTAGTTGATTTTATATTAACTCTGTGACCAAGTGTGGAGTTTTTAAAAGAGTGAAACCAGTTTGATTTCATTTGCATATAGATCGAGCATAAAACCTCCTGAGAGCTGGCACAATTACAAATCTGTTGCTAAGGTAGTTTTAGAAGATGATAAAAATATACAGAGGAGCAGAAGCCCATGTATAGTTTTAATTGGCTCATGCCAGTGCCTCAACTGTACAACTCTGCATTGAGTTGCTAAATTCAAGATGAAAATCAATGGTAACAAAGTCCAAATGGTCAATTTTTTTTTTCTCCCTCTTTTTTCCCCGTAATTTAGCAGAACCATTTGGAAATAAGTAAAGATAGTCTGCAGGCCCTGAGAATTCCTGAGATCCTTTCCATGAATTCCATGAGGTCAAAGCTATTCTTGTAATAATACTTAGGTCTTATTTGCCCTTTTCAATATGTTGATATTTGCACGACTGCTGCTGTATTCTGAATTAAGGCAGTGTGCAAGACCATAACAGTAGTCACTGTATCCTTCACCACCATGTGCTTGGAGGAAAAAAGGGCAGTTTGACTTAGGACTGTCCTTCATGAAGCACTACAAATTTATTTCAGTAAAACTTGAATCTGAGTTCAGGTCTTGTTAATATTCTGTGTGATGAAACAGGAATTTGCATGAAGTACTTCTGCATAGCAGAGTGTGTCGGTTGATTTGAAAAAAAGCCCTTGCACAGTTGTTTGACTTGGGAATACCATTCTATGCGAAATAATGATTGACAGACAAAATTACAGTTAATCAGACTTAATATTTGGGAGACATTTTATAAAAAAATGAACAAAGTGAACCTGTCACTTCAAGGGAAAAAATGTGACAGTAGATACATTTCGACTTTAAAAATTAGAGTGTTGGAAAATTTGTGTCTCCCATCATGAGCTTGATAGTTTCCGATACTTAGAGATTTTTCTGATGAGATTGGTGGTGAAATTAATGAATGTGATTATTTGGTGCTATATAATGAAATATGACAACCTGGAGATGACCTGCGTAACTCATTGAACCAGTGTTTTCCAAATAACCAGTGCATATATCATAAAATTATGTGTGGGTAAAAGATGCAGTCAAAATAAATGCTAAATGAATGGATTTTAATTCAATCAAGTACAGAAAGTTTATCAGTATGGTTTCAGATTCCATATTGCACCTAACTTTTAAGAAACTATGATTTGTGGACTAAAAAAGACAAAAGAAAAACGATCATTTGTCTGGCTTTAATGTGTCAAAGAAGAACACCCAGTTATGTGAAAAAGGTATTAAAATACTCCATTTTGCAATTTATATATGTGTATGAAGATGTGTTTTCTTCTTAATACTTCAGTTAAAACAACATTCTACAACGGGTTGAATGCAGGAGCAGATGTGAGAATCCAGCTATTTTTGCTTAAGTGAAAGTGAAAAGTGAGTGAAAGTGTTAGTCACTCAGTTGTGTTTGACTCTCTGCAACCCCATGGACTGCAGCTCTCTGTCCATAGGATTTCCTAGGCAAGAATACTGGAGGAGGTTGCCATTGCCTTCTCTCAGGCATCTTCCCGACCCAGGGATCTCCTGTATTACAGGCAGATTTTTACCATCTGAGTCACCAGGGAAGCCCCAAGCCACGCCCAACATGGGGCTTGAACCCATGACCCTGAGATTGGGACTCAGTTTTTGCTTAAACTAGACATTAAAGAGATTTGCAGAAATTAAAACAATGTCATTTTAACTTTTTAAAAAAGTAAAATAGTCTTACTTTATAAAATATTTGTGTTAATATGAAGCACAATTATTTTCTTTTTATCAGTTGAGTCAAATGCTGCTGATAAGAAATGGATGAGTGCAAGAATGTCAAGTAAATTCCAGCATCTAGTGGTGGAATGTTGTTGTTTTAACACAAACATCTGAGAAGGTTCTAAGGCTAATGATGACCTTCTGATGTCATTAAGAAAAGGGAGAATCAAATTTAAGTGTATTGTGTCAGGCATGGTAATAGATGATTTTAGTTAACAGTTTTTTTTTTTTAAATAGTTCTCATATCTTCTGAACTAAAGGTTATTCTGAATTATAAGTTATTCCATGTTAGAGATAAGAAAGGTATGCTCAGAGGACTAAAGAATAATCCCAAACTCATACAGCTAGTGGTAATGTAGCCAGGATTCTAACCTAGTTTTGGGTCTCAGTACCCATTACTGGTCACTGCTTTCATGCGTGTATGTATATAATAGAGTTTAAATCTGTATATGCATGCACATGGGCTTCCCTGCTGGCTCATCTGGTAAAGAATCCACATGTTGATGCAGGAGATGCAAAAGATTCAGGTTTAATCCCTGGGTTGGGAAGATCCTCTGGAGAAGGAAATGGCTACCCACTCCAGTATTCTTGTCTGCAGAATCCCATGAACAAAGGAGCCTGGTGGGCTATAGTCATAGAGTCACAAAGAGTTGGACATGACTGAGAGACTGAACATGCATACATACACATGCTCGGGACTGTTTTGTTTTCTGAAAAGGTTAAAATTTTGAACAAAGGCCTTATCTGGGAACTGTTTTAATAAGGACTCCAACCACATAAGTTCCCACTGGTTAGAGATGGAAGAATATGCACATTGAAAAGCATAGCAACTGTAGTGCTTTGAAACTGCAAAGAATTGGTATGAAGAATACTGTTAACTGTTTTTGGTGACATAGTGATTTTTTTTAAAATTTGTAAAGAGATACACTAAGGTGTATGTCTAGGATTTGTTTAGAAATGGTTTAGAGCAATTAGATGGGGTAGGGACTGGGGGAGGGAAAGTGGGTTGAGGTTGTATATGAAACAAGATCAGGTATGTATCAATATTTACAGCTGGGTGATGGATGCATCAGGTGCATTAAACTGCTGTCTCCACTTCGAAAATTTTCAAAGTAAAAGGTTTTTTAAAAATCTAGTTTTCAGTATTTTCTTGAGACCATGACTGTAGTTTCTTTAGTAATTCATTTCTGTGATTATTATCACTGCATTCATCCTCTCATCAGATTACTTTTTTTTTTTTTTGTAATTCTCACTTAAATTTAACTCATCATAATCTGTTGTGAATATACAAAGACAGACTTTTAAAACATTATATTTACTAAGATTCTGGCAATAGTTTTATGTAACAAGACACAGCATACCAGGCCTGCCACTCAAGTTATTTATGGTAAGTCTCAGCTTCAATATGAAGCTGTTTAAAAAAAAAAAATCAAAAACCTGCTTTTTACATACTAAATAGCTTGGCAAGTATGCTGTTAAACACAGTAAGGAATTTAAGATAGCAAGAGTAAGAAGTTAATAAAAAGCTAAACATTACAGCCTAAACAAAATTCATACAAAAAAGAACTATCACTGGTTACATAAAATTTTCCTGACTGGTTAAAACTTAACAGTATAAAACATGCATTTCAGAATCTTTAGCTATCAAGTTCAAAAAGTACCAGTGTCTATCTGAAATGATTCCTTTTCAAAGCCAAAGTGTAGTCAAAGTTATTTCAAATGTTATAACACATTCTAACGCTAAAAAACATTCAGTATTATCGAAGTGGAGGTAAACCCCAGAGTTTCTGGGGCATTCTCATGCTGCAAAAGGCTATTCCTCTGGTTCGCTCAAAGCAGCACGGGGCAGAGTCCGAGGTGACTGAGCTCAATGAAGGGCAGGGCCGCCATACCTGGCTCTGACCTCCCCACGAGGCATGGCTGCTGTGTCCACAAAAATAAGACGTGTGAGGATAAAGGCACGCTATTCTGCTAGCTAAAGTGATAGCAAACCACCCCCGCCCCTAAATCAGATTACTTTTTAAGTTAAGGCTTTTTCTTTGTGTTTCCCTTTCTCTCTTCTTAGCTCTCTCTTTCCAGATGTAGTGAACTGTATGCAGACGGACAATCTGGAACTGAAGAAGCTTGTATATCTCTACTTGATGAACTATGCCAAGAGTCAGCCAGACATGGCCATCATGGCTGTCAACAGCTTTGTGAAGGTAAATTTTTCTCAGGGACTCAAGAACAGTTTCTTCTATCTCAGAAAGCCTTTTAAGAAGTGTCTCTTGATATGGTTAGCATCTGCATTCCAAAAGAGGGCTTCTAGAGAAGTATTGGCAACGAGTAGGAATGTTCATGATTTAAGCATTCTGTATGCTGGCATTTGTCATCCAGTTTAGACCATATGGTGAGCCTTCTGTCAGCTAGGCTTGTTACATCCTTGCCAGATGGGAGAAGAAAGCCAGGTGAAATGTCACTCTTAACCTTCTATGGCAGACAAAGGTTGGGCATATCATTATAATGTCAGTAACCTGGGGCCTTACCTATTTATCTTTGTAGAAATTATGCTTATGTTTTAGAAGTAGTGGAAACTATAGAAGCTGCCTTTTAATTTTGTTTTAATAAGTACGATTAACTTTTTTTGTTGTTGTTATGGAAATTTTCAAACATACTCAAGTAAAGGAAATAGTATAGTAAGTTCCTAAATATCTACCTTGTAGTTTCAGTAGTTACCAACCTATGACCAGTCTTGTTTAACTTATATTCTCCATACATGCTTTCCTGACCACCACGTCCTCTCCTACTTGATAATTTTAAAGCAAATTCCAAACATTCTAAGGATGAAAAATCATTTAAGCAACTGACCATCAAAGAAAGTCCTTAATACTATTGTATATCCAGTTAAAATTCTCATGTGATTAGATATGATGAACATAATAATAAGGTTGTCTCTATTAGAGATTGGGATTTTTTTGTTTTGTTTACTTATTGTTTTTTTCCCCTGTCTGGAATTCAGTGTACGTTAGAAGCAAAAATCAGATGGCATTTCTAAAATTAGCTGCTATTGTTTTGAAAAAATAAACATGCTTTCTTCTCATGGAATTTTTTTTTTCTGTGTTTAAAAAATGTACAGAATCAAAATAACATTTCATTCTGTTTGGTGATTCATAGATGGATGATATCATTGGAAATAATTTAGTGTATATTTTTTGAAAGTTAGCTTGTGCATAGGTTTATAAAGTTTAAAGAAAATTTTAAATACAGGGCAATTTAAGGGGTATTCCTTCACGGTAAGTGTTCTATTAATATTTGTACAGTATTTGGAGGCACTTGCTAGGAAAGGAGAATGTATGTTAATCAGCATTTCAGCAGATCTCTCTGCTGCTTCACTTAAGAAACTTCTGGGGGACCCAGACCAGCTTCTGGAATCTCCTTTGTTTTCTTGGCTGTAGGCCCCAGATATATCCACCCCTCTTTTCTCCTTGGTTGATGTTTGTGGAGTGGGACACATCTTTCCAGTTTCTGATTTTTTTCCTGTACCAGAATACAAGCCCAAAGCCTTTTTCTCTTTTTAGAGCAGGTCCACTAATGGCCATGAGGATAGTAACACCAGCTATCTAAATTTCTGCCCAGCTCTGGAATGAATCCTACAGGGCATGTCTTCATTGTATATATAAAACAGTTAAATGAATTCCTAACCTAAACTCTTTGAATAGGCAACTAAATTTTGTACTTGGAAAATGCGGGTTCTGGTGTAGAATATAACTGGAAACCTACATTAATTAAATGTTCTTTTGTGGCTTATAGAAGTCAGACTGTTTGATTTTAGACACCATGTACACCAATAGTTGTCAATGATTGTTGTCTGTAGGACTGTGAAGATCCCAATCCTCTGATTCGAGCTTTGGCAGTCAGAACTATGGGGTGCATCCGGGTGGACAAGATTACAGAGTATCTCTGTGAGCCCCTCCGCAAGTGCTTAAAGGATGAAGATCCCTATGTCCGGAAGACAGCAGCAGTCTGTGTGGCAAAACTCCATGACATCAATGCCCAGATGGTGGAAGATCAGGGATTTCTGGATTCTCTGCGGGATCTCATAGCAGATTCAAATCCAATGGTAATGTATTTCCATTTTTTTATGAGAGCAGTATTTAAAATGGATCTCTTTAAAAAGCATGTTTAAAATAAATCTTTGGGACATTGAGCCATAGGTTAGCTATGTGAAGCTAACCATGACTTCCATGGGACCCAAAGATTGTCTGTCTCATACCCTACTGAGCTGAAAACGAAGTCCTAATATACAAATAGTATATGTATGCCATTTATTTATTTATACTTTTCATTATAGGAATTTTCAAACATCTTCAAAATTAGAGTTACTAAATGAATAAATAAAATGAAGTCAGTTACCATCACCAGGTCCAGTAATTATTAATACATGCTAGTTTATTTTACCTGTTTTCTTCTCCTATGCCCTACTTACCTATGGGTAACTTAAAGATGTCACACATGAATGGGTCTCTGAATTTAATGTGTCATTATAATTAATAATAAACTTTAATAATCTTAACCTGTTTTTATACAACAAATTGAGATGATTTGAGGAGATTTTCACAAGTATCTTTGAGAAAACTTATAGAGAAAATTTAAGGTTACTTAGTAGAATTGTGAGAAACTGTTTCAGGAATGCCTTATGTTTTATTGTATCTTTCTTGAAGATTTTCCTAGAACAGGTGTTAGCATTAGGGATTATTAAATTGTTGGACCCTGCTGCCCTCTAAATGGGAAATTCTTCTTATTTCCTTTGTTTGACATCTTGTTAAGAAGGTGCCCAGGAGGCAGAATTTAAGGAGGCATTCATTCTCAGGTGCCCACTCTACCTGTGCAGGCTTGAGAGTGGAATACTTCTCTCCCGCCTTATTCTCAGTTCAGTTGAGTCACTCAGTCATGTCTGACTCTTTGCAATGCCATGAACTGCAGCACGCCAGGCCTCCCTGTCCATCACCAACTCCGAGTTTACTCAGACTCATGTCAATTGATTTGATGATGCCATCCAACCATCTCATCCTCTGTCGTCCCCTTCTCTTCCTGTCGTCAATCTTTCGCAGCATCAGGGTCTTTTCAAATGAGTCAGTTCTTCACATCAGGTGGCCAGAGTACTGGAGCTTCAGCATCAGTCCTTCCAGTGAATATTCTGGACTGACTTCCTTTACGATGGACTGGTTGGAACTCCTTGGCCTTATTTTACAAACATTAAATCATTTGTTTGAGCTCTTCATTCCTGTTATTTTAGTGAAGAACTGAAAAGCTTGGACTAAGAGATAAACACATATATATCCCCATGCCTGCTTTTGTTCTTAAACCCATACTTTCATCTCAACTGTATGTCCTGTTTTTTTTGCCAGAAGTATTACTGCTGTTTTTAGACTGCTGGTTGTCCTTTTTATCAATTGGGTCAAATGCTGCTGATAAGAAATGAATGAGTGTAAGAATGTGAAGTAAATTCCAGTGTCTAGTGGTGGAATGGAAGGTATAGTAACTCAAACATTTGAGAAGGTCCTAAGGCTAATGATGACCTTCCTAATACCATTAAGAAAAAGAGAGGCTTCTCGGATGGTCCACCGGTTGGGAATCTGCCTAGCAGTGCAGGGGTTCGATAACTGGTCCGAGAAAATCCCGTTTGCCGTGAAGCAACCAAGCCCTTGCGCCACAGCTGAGCCCTCATGCCTAGAGCCTGTGCTCCGCAGAGAAGCCCCCACTGCACTCACAGCAGCTGAAGAAAGCCCTTGTGCGCAGCAACAGAAGACCCAGCGCAGCCAATAAATGAGTAGTTTAAAAAAATAAAAGGAAAGTGCATTCTGTGTCAGGCGTAGTGATTGGTGCTTTTACTTAAAGTGTTTTTTTTTTTTTAGTAGTTCTCCTATCTTCTGACCTAGAAGTTATTCTGAATTAGAGGTTTTTCTATGATAGAGATCAAGTAGTGTATACTTCAGTCACTCAGTCGTGTCCGACTCTTTGCGAGCCTGTGAACCACAGCACGCCAGGCCTCCCTGTCCATGACCAACTCCCAGGGTCCACCCAAACCCATGTCCATTGAGTTGGTGATGCCATCCAACCATCTCATCCTCTGTGGTCCCCTTCTCCTCCTGCCCTCAGTCTTTCCCAGCATCAGGATCTTTTCAAATGAGTCAGCTCTTCACATCAGGTGGCCAGAGTATTGGAGTTTCAGCTTCAACATCAGTCCTACCAATGAACACCCAGGACTGATCTCTTTTAGGATGGACTGGTTGGATCTCCTTCCAGTCCAAGGGACTCTCACTTGGAGAAGCTAAAGAATAATTCCAGCGTCACTCAGCTAGTGGTACTCTGGCCAGAATTCTAACCTGGTTCTGAGCCCCAATACCCATCAGTGTGGTTACTGTCTCCATGGGTGTGTATATGCATGATATAATTTAAATACATACATGCATGTACATATTTAGGACTGTTTGATTTTCCAAAAATGGTTAAAATTTTGAACAAATAAAGGCCTTAATTATCTGATGACTGTTTTAATAAAGAAATCTTCTGAACCTCTTATTCCCATGATAGGTATGAGTCCAGTTTTACTGCTCTTGAGGGAGAATTTTGTTCCACTTTTTCAGAAGTTGCCCCACATGGTGGCAGCACTGCACCAGCAACTCTCAGAACCACTTGCAGAAGGAATTGATGCTTCCTGGTTCTACCTGAGTAGTTTTCTTACAGCTCACTTTAGAAGGGCATCCTAGATGTGAAAGCACCAGTACCTCTGGAGAAATGACTTTGAAATCAGAGTGTAAAATGTCAGTTAAAATCTGGTGACTTTTTTGGTGGATGGAACCTTGCTTGTGGATCTTAGTTCCCTGACCAGGAAGGCAGCTGTGCATCACTGTACCATCACCACGTACTTGGTTCCCTAACCAGGGATTGAACACTGGCCCTTGGCAGTGAGAGCATGGAGTCCAAATCACTAGACCTCCAGAGAATTTCCACTACAATATTAGTTTAAAAGGTACTGATCTCTTTGATATCTCTACAGATTCATATAGTAAAACCTTTTCTGAGGAATTAGAGCTAAACTTATCTTTAGAGGCCAAGTTTATTGGTCCATTTTGTTGAAAGTAATTATATATTTAGAAAGAGGAAGCACTTTGTGGTGAGAGGAAGATAACTCCCATGATTTCTTCACATAGAATTTTGAAAGTCCTGGTCTCTGTAAATTGATATTTGCAAGAAAGATACACTTTTGGGTGATGGTGGCTTTTCTCTAGCTTTTTGTCCACATATTAGGATTTTCCCTCCTTACTACAATTTTTTTTTCTCTCTCAGAGGCATTTGAGATATTCCAATTTCTGTTAATGTTTACACTGGAATCTGCTCCCTGAGACTCCGTGGACAGCCCCACCACATGTGCTTTGCTTTTTGTTTGCGAATTCAGATCTCCTGAATCCTTTGGCTCCATGCCTTAGCCCCTTTGATCTTGTCAGTTCTGTCATCACTCTTGAGAACTGCCCCGGGAATGTCCCTTTTCCATTGCTCTGTTCTCTCAGCCCAAGTACAAACTACTGGATTAGTTACAACAACAACAACAACACCCCCAGAATCATGTTTTTCATTTGTTAAGGGTTTTTCTGGACAAGCAGCATGCTATCAGAACTTGGCCCAGTATGGCCTTCAGCAAAGGCTCTAGTTAAACTGCCAGCTCCTTTTTTTCCCCTCAGCTTCTTTTAATTTAAACTTATTCTGGAAAGCTCTCTTATGAAAAGTAGCACTTTTCCTCTTAGAAAAAGTATGTATTTTAACCATGTGCTAGCCAGCAGTTAGAAGCCACGTGAGATAGTGACAGCGGTTCTCAACTGGTAGTGGAAGTTTCCCTGGGGGTACGCGGCCGTGTTGGGGAACACTTTTGGTTGTCGTAGCTGATGGGAAGATTGCTACTGACATCTGGTAAGTAGGGTTCAAGGATACGTTAAACATCCTGCAGCACATAGGGAGTCTTCTGCAGCGAAGAATTATCCATCCCAAAACGTCACTAGTGCTAAGGTTGTAAAAATTTGGGTTATGGAAATAGCACACAGCATTTAGGGTCCAGAGTTGTTGCTGTTTGGCATCCTGGCTTGGCTGCTTACTAGAAGCGTGGCCTTGAGACTGTTATTTAAAATGAGCTTCAGTGGCCTCATCTGGAAAAATAAAAATAAAAGCAGGTAATAATGCCCGTTTTACTGGATTATTTTGAATATGAAGGAATAATTTATTTAAAAATTTAAGTAATGCCTAACAGTAAATGCTTAATAAACAATAGCTATTCTTTTGGGGAAATTTTTAAAAATTTATTTTTAATTGGAAGATAATTGCTTTGCAATGTTGTGTTGGTTTCTGCCAAACATCGACATCAGTCAGTCATAGGTATACACATGTCCCCTCCCTCTTGAGCCTCCTTCCCACCTCCTAGCCCGTCCCACCCCTCTTAGGTTGTCACCGAGCACCAAGCTGAGCACTTTCGATACACAGCAGCTTCCTGTTAGCTATCTGTTTTACACATGGTAATGTATATGCTGCTGCTGCTAAGTCGCTCCAGTCGTGTCCGACTCTGCGGCCCCATAGACGCAGCCCACGAGGCTCGCCCATCCCTGGGATTCTCCAGGCAAGAACACTGGAGTGGGTTGCCATTTCCTTCTCCAATGCAGAAAAGTGAAGACGCTCAGTCATGTCTGACTCTTAGCGACCCCATGGACTGCAGCCTACCAGGCTGCTCTGTCCATGGGATTCTCCCGGCAAGAGTACTGAAGTGGGTTGCCATTGCCTTCTTTGGGTGTGTATATATTTCAGGGCTGTTCTCTCAGTTTGTCCCACCCTCTTTTTCCCCTTCTCTGTCCATGAGTCTGATCTCTATGTCTGAGTCTCTATTCCCACCCTGCAAAGGGGTTCATCAGTACCATTTTTCTAGATTTCATATATATGCATTAATATATAATATTTATTTTTTCTCTTTCTGACTTACTTCCCACTGTATAAGGGTCTAGGTTGATCCACCTCACTAGAACTGACGCAAATTCATTCCTTCTTATGAACAGCAGCTATTCTTGAGGAATAGACCTA